TGAGTTTCTCCTGAGTCCCTGCACACACAGAGATGTCCCTGGGCCATTCCTGGTTGCCAGGAGGTGTCTGCAGGGCAGAGCTGAGCACACAGTGGTTTCCATGGGGTCTGTGAAACAGTGCCTGTCAGTGCCAAGCTGCAGATCTGGGCAGGGGATGAGAGGGAAATTGTTGTCAGAAATACTTGGGGAGGGGACATTGACAGGGGTACATCCCTGTCATCCCATATTATACCAGATACCTTCCCTGGAGAAAACCTCTGGTGTCCTCTCTCACATATCAGATGACTAGGAAAAATACCATAGATTTTATTTAGAGTAGTCTAGGCTAAGTATTTTACTGTTTTTTACTCCATGGACACAGTGAATTCCCAGAAGCAAATGTCCAACAGCAGCTCCATCTCCCAGTTCCTCCTTCTGCCATTTGCAGACACACAGGAGCTGCAGCTCTTGCACTTCTGGCTCTTTCTGGCCATCTCTCTGGCTGCCCTCCTGGGAAACAGTCTCATCATCACTGTCATAGACTGGAACCACCACCTCCATACGCCAATGTACTCCTTCCTGCTCAACCTCTCCCTTCTCAACCTGGAAACCATCTCCATCACGTTCCCCAAAGCCATGACCAATTCTTTCTGGGACACCAAGGAAATCTCCTACATGGGCTGTACTGCTCAGGTCTCTCTGTATGTCTTTTTTATTTCATCAGAACATTATCTTCTCACTGTCATGGCTTGTGACCGCTACGTTGCCATCTGCAAACCCCTGCACTACAGGAACCTCCTGGGCATCAGAGCTTTTGTCCACATGGCAGCAGCTGCCTGGGACAGTGGGTTTTTTTTCTCTTCTGCACACGGCCAATACATTTTCACTACCCCTCTGTAAAGGCAATGCTGTGGACCAGTTCTTCTGTGAAATCCCCCAGTTTCTCAAGCTCTCCTGCTCACACTCCTACCCCAGGGAAGTTGGGCTTCTTGTGGTCAGTGTCTGTTTAGCATTTGGGTGTTTTGTGTTCACTGTGCTGTCCTGTGTGCAGATCTTCAGGGCCATGCTGAGGATCCCCTCTGAGCAGGGATGGCTCAAGACCTTTTCCACCTTTTCCAGGTGCCTCCCTCACCTGGCTGTGGTCTCTCTGTTTCTCAGCACTGTCACATTTCCTCACCTGAAGCCCCACTCCTTCTCATCCCCATCTCTGGATGTGGTGGTGGCAGTGCTGTACTTGGTGGTGCCTCCAGCAGTGATCCTCCTCTTCTACAGCCTGAGGAATCAGGAGCTTAACTATGCACTGAAGAAGCTGATTCAATCAGTATTCTTTCAACAGCAGTCCTATGTCTTTGCACAAGAGATTTCCAGTGTAAGTTGGGAATCTGCTGTGTTTTGTGCTTTTAATCTCTGATAATCTTCTGTGTTTGGGAATGTCTGCATTCACTCCACTTCTCCAGAGGAATTAACAATGTCTGTCTGACCTAGAGGTCTTTGCGCATGTACCTGGCACAGTGGTAAAACTGGCCTTCCATGTCACTCTTCCGTAATAAAAGAGGATTTCCTCAGTGCTAGTGTCTGGAGTTTGGGTTCCTCTTCCAAAGC